AAATACCGACTACACCAGATGCGAGCGGCGTGACGTGACAAAAGCAAATAGAACCCAGTGATGTTCTCTGCTGTGGATGCGGCGCGACGCGACACGACACGACACGACAAATCCATGACAGTAAGCAGATGCCCCGTTCTATTTCTGACGAACTCCAGCGCTCTGACACAAAGAACAATTTCAAATAATAATAAGAGAATCGTGAAAAAATTGTTTCCTCAAAAATATGAAGCAGCACAACTGTTTTCAGAAATGGTTACTGAGCAGCAAATCAGCATATTATAATGATTTCTGAAGGATCACGTGACACTGAAGACTGGAGTAATGATGCTGAAAATTCAGCTTTGATCACAGGAATACAGTAGCCTATATGTTAAAACATTCAAATAGATATATTTGACAATATTTCACAATATTACAGTGATTACTGTATTTTTAATAAATAAACGTAGCCTTGGTGTGCATAAGAGACTTTCCAAAAAAAAAAAAAAAGAGGGGGGTTGGGGGGGGTCTTGAAAATATTTTTCTCTACAAAAGGGGGCCCCGGCAGAAAAAGTTTGGGAACCACTGCTCTAGGGGACGCAGCGTCTCGTTCCCTATTCTCAGGGAACCATGGATACATGCGTAACCTGAGATGATTTGTCAGAGGATCACAGAGTTTTCTGAAAAACAGTAGGTAATTTGCTCTTGAATTATTACAAAGGTTGTGTGAGAAAAACAGACTTGGCAGGTTCAGACAGGATTAAAATTGCAAAGTATATCTGTGAAACACTAATTTCTCTAACGACCCCCTGAAAAACTTGTCCCATCCGAATAGGGCTAAAGACACAACCCAATCAGCCAATAATAAGGGGTACTACAGCAATCAAAAATGTGAAATTGCTCATAACTCCTAGACCATTTGTCGTTGACTCAAGTGTCTTATATCACTGGATTAAGATGAACAAAATATCTTTTTTTCACCATCTTGAATTTTTTGCTAAACTTTTGCGAACTAGATAGGTAGATAGGAAGTTTGAACACTTGGTGGCACTATAAAAATTGCTGTAACTATGCAACCATTAGTCCAATTGACCTTAAATTTGGCGTGCATGGTCTTTTTACAAGCTACCACCGACAACTATGTGGACATTGGCATATCTTGAAAAAAAATGCTGCTATCAACCAATGAATTTTGAGCATGCATTGCACAAGGTTAATAAAGGCCAATTGGAATGAAACTCAACAGGCCTGTTTGACTCGTGGACCTAGAGGTCTGTGAGAGAGTTGAAAAAATAAATAAAAATAAATCGCCCACCCACCGGGTTGATGCTATTGTATTTTACAACTTGTATATCACAAGATTTCATACATGCAGAAAAGATTCATGTCATATGTTAAATTTCCTCATTCTAAACAACTTTGCCTCGAGAACTATTGCTGTCAATCAAACCTTTCATGAGATATTTGATAGTATTTGATACTGAAAAAAATGTCCCAACTTTTCTGGAAATGAGTTTGCAACCTCAAGAACCTTTTTCCACTATAAAGATCTTATTGTCTAATGGAAAGGTTCCATGCATGTTAAAAGTTCTTCATGGATCCATCAATGCCAATAAAGAAGCTTTAAAAAAAGCTTAGAACCTCAACTTTCCAGGATAATAAGCTAGGGCCCAGCAGACCGCAGAGACTTGGGTGGCACATGGGACCACCAGGGCAGAGCCGCCAGGGAGGAGCCAGCAGAGCAGATAGCCTGGGTGTGGCCAGCAGAGCAAGAGGCCAGGGCTGAGCTGAAGATCACCAGTGCAAAGCAGACAAAGCTGAAGACCACTAGAATGGAACAGGCAGAACTGGTAAACACCTCAGCATAGCAGGAGACACTGAAAACAACCAGAGCTGATGGAACTGAAACCCACCAAGGCAGAGCAGATGACCATCACAGCAGAAATGACATAACTGGACATCCCCATGGTGGAGTAGAACACCACCACAGCAGACAAAAGGGATCAAAGATCCCCACAGCAGAGCAGAAGACCACCTCGACAGAACAGATGGGGCCGAAGATCCCCACAGCAGAGCAGATGACCACCACAGGAGAGTAGATGGGACCGAAGACCACCTCAGCAGAGCAGGTAAAGCTGAAGAACACCAAGGCTGAGCAGAAGATGCAGGAGACCACCAAGGCAGAGCTGGTGGAACTGAAGACTACCAAGACTGTGCAGACAAAGCTGGAGACCACCATGGCCGAGCAGATTGGCAGAGCAGAGTGGAAGGCTACCTAAGCAGATCATGTATTACTGGAACCCACCATGGTGGATGAGGTCAAGCAGAAGACCACCACAGTGGAGCAGTAGACCACCACGGCAGAACAGTAACAGAGAGCACAGAGAGGTTAGAAATGGCCTCTATGGTTATAACTACACAGGTGGAGAGTTCGGGAACAGCCACTGTGGCTGTGACAAAGCAGGCAGAGAGTTCTGAGAGTTCAGGGATGACATCTGTGGTCATGTCGGAGCAGACAAAGGCCTCCTTGGCTGCAACCGGACTGGCAGAAGGTTCAGGGATGGCCTCTTTGGCCATGTTAGAGCAGACTGGGAATTCAGTGACATCTCCATGGCCATGTCAGAGCAGGTGGAGATCTCCACTCTAGAGTTCAAGGACCGCTTCCGTGGCTGTTTCAGAGCAGGTGGAGAGTTCAGGGATGGTCTCTATTGCCATTTCAGGGCAGGCTGGGAGTTCAGAGATAACCTCTTTGGCTGCAACATGGCAGACAGAGAGTTGGAGAATGAGCTCTTGTCCCAAAAAAAGGAGCAGAGAATGGCCACCATGACCGTGACTAGGGAACTTGGAATGATTGCTGCTTCTAGAGAAGCTGTAGCGGACATTGTCACCGCTATGGTTTGCGGGAATATCTGGAGAAATGTGTGCAGCACAAACACACAGGATGGTGGTAGTCATCACAGGAAGTACAGCTGACGGCAATAGGACTTCTAAGGCCCCCGGGCATGAGACCACCAGGCAAAGAAGCACTGGGACCACCGGACTTAGAAGTGCAGAGAGCCAAAGACTTGTGGGAACCACACTTGGCATGCTGGCCACTCACGCTGACATCAGAGGTAGGTCTGCCACTCTGGAAATCAGCTTCCAACACCCAAAAGCATTCTTTGTAGATTCTAACTTGGCAGCCCTGACAGCTGGAGACTCTGGTGTGGCAGCCATAATGGTTGGTAACTCCGGTATAGTGGATACTGTGGAAGTGCTGCACTCTTCCTCCAAGACACCCACAGTAAATGAAGATACACTCAGCTGTAGTGCCAGGTCAATGTAAAACTCAAAAATCAGATTAGGGTCATGCTGCATTATGACCGAACTGAGCGATTCAGATCTGACAGTGAACATTAGGACTTGTATACATATAGGATAATAGGCCCACAAGACACACCTGAACACAATCAGGGAGTAACGAAGGGAGCTAAAAGAACTACAAAAGAGACTGGAAGCTGGAAACAGGGCTAAACAAAAGCTTAGACAGAGAACATGTAACAACAATAAAAAAAAGGACATAAATTTTGTACAAACTGAATCTTATGTGCACCTCATCTTTGCATTTGGAAGTGCGTTGCTTCAATCAGAGTCTGTTCTCTGGAAAAAAAGCATGTACTTACGCATGATTCACCGAGTGCATGGTTAACGTGGTCATCCTCGGTTCTGCTAACTCACAAAAATAACATATCGTATATAAAACAGTAAAGTTTGCAGTACATATATTATTTTACGTACAAAAAAAATCTAATAATCAAAGGTAAATATCTTTGTTTTTTGAAAGTGTTTGCATTCTGAGGGCACGCGACAACACACATGGTGCCCAGTCAGGAACCTAGGAGTATTTAGGACCATCAGATTCCACATTATCCATTCTCCGAGCATGTGTGAGATTTTAATCTGTTTTCAGAAACTTGTGTGTAAGTATTTGGATACACTGGGCTATGACTGAATCAATATGCATCAATCATTTATGTTGCAGAAACATAGTATTTCTGCTGAAAGCTGGACATATTCACATTTTTAGATTTAGTGTCAGGAAAGAACCAATAGTCTGACTAATAGTCTGAATTCACTATAGGAGTTTACTGAAAGTTTATTTAGTCAAGAATCATGTAAACAGTAACTCCACAAAAGATTTGAATGCACTACAAAACCAGCCATACAATTCAAAGACAAATTTTCAAATTATTCTTTACACAAATCAAAAAGGAATGAAAACCTTAAAATGTCATACAATTAGGTAAAAAATGTTCTCCCTTCAGAAGCACTGCAATGTTTCTAAGACACACGTTTTATCTTCATGCTGATGGATTTCATACTGACTGCGTAATTCTTCCATGATGACCAAGCCACACCAATGGCATAATAGGTGGGATCTTCACCCCATAAATACACACCATTGGGGTTTGTATTGTGACAGGCTGAGTACCAAAATGCCCCAAGATACTGTTTGGCACAGTTAGTATCTGAAGTGTCTTGGTCCTTGTCAAAGGTGGAGAACTTGAATCCATTATGGCCAGATAAAGAGTCGCCTGCAGAGAGGGAGAGCACCACTGAGGACAATAACCCAATGGAAATGTGTTTTCATTAGTAGAAATGAAAGTGTCCTACCTGCTCCTCCATCAGTGAATCCTGAAACATGCAGCTGATATCCAGCACATTCACAATCCACAGAGAAGGATGAGTACAGAGCGAAACCTTTCCTTCCTTCAAAGTCCTCCAGATCCACTCTCAGCATGTACTTGTTCTTACGTGTCAGCTGGTACATGTTCTCCAGCCCTGATCATACACACACATGAAGAACACCTTCAACCAAACACTGGACATGAACATCCACACAAACACACACACATGAAGAACACGTTCAACCAAACACTGGTCATGAACATACACAAACACACACATGAAGAACACGTTCAACCAAACACTGGACATGAACATCCACACAAACACACACGCACACTGTGAGATCTTACCCAGCCAGTATTCACTCTCCACATTCCCAAATCCTCTCTTGTAGTGATTCCACGGCTGATAGAAATTCACACTGCCGTCCACTCTCCTCTGAATCACCTGTGATTGGTTTATATAGAATATATGATTCATAATGAATGTTCTGATGTGTGTTTAATGATCTAAAGTCACATTCATACCGTCCATCCTCCTTTGTCTTCATCTTTCCCATCTGAGATAATCTGACAATAAACCCAGACAGGAATGTCAGCTGCTGAATAGATGGAGTAAATCCCACTGACTGTTTGTCCTGATTTATATACATCAGAGCAGTCAACCGGTCTGTCTACATCATGACCGCAATCACAGCCCAATAAAACAGGTAGAAGAGCTGTCAAAAACACCATCATCTGCACGAGAAACAGATGAACATCACACTGAAAAGGTGAAAATAATCTGCAAGAATGCTACAAAATGTAGGAAACAGATGAACTTACCTCCATCTTCTCAACTTCTTCTCAGTAGATCAAAGCAGAAATCTTTTTTTTCCTTAGAGATGAAAATGAATTAACTTATATCATTTCATTGTATTAGTTATTTTGTATAAAATGATATAAACTTCTGAATGTCCAGACAGGCTTTTAGGAAAATGCTGAAGAATAAACCAGCAACTCACCATTGGGTGTTCTCCAGTTGTAGAG